TTGAAACTTTTTATTTAAATTTTAATGAAATTATTATATTATTTTTATTATATTATTATTTTTTATTAAAAATAATATTTCTACAACAAATGTTATCCAACATAATTTTTATTAAAAATTTTAATCATACCAAACAAGCACTTCGCCCGTCTGCGATTTCATTTGCGTGTCTGCTATCAATATAGGTCTACTAGCTAGTTCCACAAAAATGAAAGAATGGAAGCCGCCCATAAGTCAAGTGGATGCGAGTAAGTTGACTATAATTTTCAATCAATGAAGCTCATTGGCCTACGTACGTCGCTTTCTGCCTAGCTATGTATTATTCTGCTTCGGCTTGTAATTATAACCAAAACGCAAGAATTTTCAAGACTTTGAAAGCGTGTTCTTTCCCCTTGATTTCGCAGAAAGTTAATGGGGATAAAATTAACTATTATTGCAGTCAACAAAAAACACCCACTAAAAATAAAATTAATTATTATTATATTTTTTATTTCAACCATTTGTACTAAAATTTATTAAAATGATATTTATAAAGCTCTTTATTGTAACAATCTTCGTTAAAAAATAACTTTGTAATTGAGACTTTTTTTAATAATTTTGTATATTTAAAGGGGATGAACAAGTGCATCAGGACCTCACCACCTAACAATCATAAACCAATTTAAAAGTACATTCCTTTAACTCAAGGGTTGGGTTGGATTCCCCTCACTCCATATTTATAATCCTGTTAAGAAAAAAAAAGGGGTGCACAAGTAGCCAAAAGACAACTTATTACACTCGTATAATTAAACGCGTACACAAGTAGTCCGGAGGACAAGTCGGCTGTGGCCATATATTAATATGTAGAGAAATAATTTAGCCGCATGCAATTTCATTCACGTATCTGCAATAATTAATTGGTTTCACAAAAATGAAAGACTGAAAGCTATCCATAAGTCAAGCAGACGACGGCTAAGTTAACTATAATTTTCAGTCAATGAAGCTTATTGGCCCTACGTTGCTTTTGCCTAGCTGTATATTATTCTGCTTCGATCTCCTCCTAACTACAACCAAAACGCAGTATTCTTCTCCCCTAGCTGTTGCAGAACATTAATAAAGATGAGATTGGTGTTGTGGATGGCGGTGATGCTGGTATTATCATCTTCTGCGGCCGTCAGGACAAGTTCAACTGCCAAAGAAAACTGCCCAGAAACGTGTGGAAACGTTAGGGTGCCTTACCCTTTTGGATATGGCAATCCTGAATG